AATGTCAGTTAAATTGTATTGACAAAAATTCTGGTTTAGAAGCTTACATATTTTTTTCTAGGCTTTCCTTAATAAAAATACGTATGCAAAGATATGGAATTAGGTTGGGCGGAGGAGTTGTATTTAAATATTCTATGGTGTTTTTTTCCGGTTGATTGCAGTTGTTTAGAATTGATTTGGCTGCTTAAAGCTGAGGCTCTAGCTCTTAAATGTTAAGACATTTTTGCTGTATTTAGTGGTTTTATGGTTTTCTACTGCTGATTGTTGAGAGATTGAGGAAGGTCGGTGAGAAGGTTGTGATTTGCATTAGAAGATTGCAGCAGAAAGTGATACTTGAACTGGTGACTCTTTTCAAGGGTGAGGAAAGAGAAAATATCCGACTGAGAAGGCTTGCTGTTGCAGAAGCAAGGGTTGAAATCTGTTTGAAAATCAGGTTTCAAAAACACCAGAGAAAATACAAACTTACAGAATCTCTGACTGTATCCAAATTGGCCTTTGGTCACTGGAATAAGCTTTTCTGATTTTCTAAAACATCCTACTTTTGCAGTCTTCCAGAGCAGGAATGTCCAACTGTTGAAGTAACATCCTGTATTTAACTCTTTTGTTGTAGACTTGTTACTACAGATATTTCACAGATGGATAAAGAGCAATTAATCGTGGATTTGACGAAAGAAAGTCCTATTGTTCAGCTAGTACAAGAGTATGAAGAAGATACAAGCCAGTCAACAGTAACCTTACTGCCCAGTGATGATCAAGAAGAAGAAGAAGCATCGACATGGTTTGAGCTTGAGACGGAAAATTACTGCTATGACATGGCAACAGTATGTTGTATTTCTACCTTTTCAGAATATCTGTTTAAATGGTGCTCAGTTGCAGTAGCCATGCATCGGCAGCATAGTAAAACTGAAGGTAAACAAGCGCAAGGTTACTCTGCTGATGTTCAGCAGCCACGGGTGGTTCTGACTGAGTCTGTACCTATGTCAACAGATGAGCCTGTGCCTGAGCAATTAGACAGCAAAGTTGAGAAACCGGCTGGAACTACTGTTGCAGTTGACTTGAGCAGCGTGTTCCATGAGGAGATTAGTAATGAAACCACAGATGCGATTGAACTGGAACCAAGCCATCCTCAAACTGTTTCTCAGTCCCTCCTGTTAGAAGTTACTTCTGAAGTTAAGACATTGCCAGCAACAGACATGACATTGGAGTCCCCAAAAGATGATGCAGGCCAGGTAGCACCCAGGGTGACTCCCCAGGTGGATATAACTGATACCAGTGCAGAAGCAGAAAAGGCTGAGAGCTCTATTGCAGAAGAAAACCTTGTAGCTTCTGAGACCAGTGTGGCCACCGAGGAGATGAGCACAAGAGAGAGTATTGCTGCTCCAGTGATTTTAAAGCCGACAGAAACTGTTCTGCAGGCTGAATATACAGTGGGTATATTAGCTGGTGATGCTGGGGATGGAAAGGAAAGCACTCCAGAAGTGCAAAAACCTGTTCTGCCTCCTGTCGAGTTATCTGCTGAAACAAAGGAGGATGATCAGGCGACTGAAGAAGCTTTAATGGCAATTCCGGTCTCTGGGGGACCGCAGAGAACAGCTACAGACTTCTATGCTGAATTGCAAAATTCAACGGATCTAGGCTATGCGAACGGAAATCTTATTCATGGATCTAATCAAAAGGAGTCTGTCTTCATGCGCCTTAATAATCGCATAAAAGCCCTGGAAGTAAACATGTCTCTCAGCAGCCGTTATTTAGAAGAACTTAGTCAGAGGTAAGTCTGAGGAAGACTGGTAAGAGTTGACCGTATAGAAACGTGATTTTAGCCAATGGTACAAGGGAGCGTACACATACAGAAAGCAGTGCAATTGAAGTGGAATATAACGTGAATCATGGCATAAAGCCTTATGGAAAACTTGAGAAAAATACCTAATGCTAGGTAGCTGCTGGAGACTGATGTGTCTGTGGGCCGCAGGGATTCTCTTTCTGTGTTTCAGACGCAGCCACGTTTATGTTGTCTTGAGGAATGTTGTCGTGGGTTTTTAAAAGGATAAATTTGTTGCCAGGATGTAAGCACTAATGCTGTCCGTAATCCTTTCAGCAAAAGGTTACATCCTTCTGTTGCTGTTAAACTGAATGACAGAAACCTACAATGCCTTCCTTACTTTTATTCACTTAAACAGTGATGTAATGACTCCTGTTGAAGAAGGGAGTGCAGAGAGGGAACCAAGAACTTTGTGAGGGGTATAGTGTTTATCTGGTGCCCCTTTAGCTGTAGGAGAATCGGGAAATGTACCTATTTTGGAATCTATTCCAAAGGAGGGGCTCTTCATTATATTTACTGTCATGTCATCTGTCTTGGCAGTCAGTGCTTGCTCAGAATTGTCCATAGTGAATTCCACTGAATTGATGCTAAGCTCTAAGGTGTTGAAATAGATTTCATATAACTTTGCAAAAAAAATACACGTCAGTTTTATATGTGAAACTTAAAAGGAAATACAACTTGATTCTTAAATAAAGCTCATCTGGGCAAAGAGAAGTTTTCTGCTGGCGTAGTTGTATTTTCTGAAAGCAAGCCTAGTGCCAAGAAGTTTTATGAGCTAGTATTTCAGATATTTGCCCTCTTTGTTTCAGGTACCGAAAGCAAATGGAAGAAATGCAGAAGGCTTTCAATAAAACAATAATAAAACTTCAGAACACTTCAAGAATAGCGGAAGAGCAGGTATGGTTTGCTGGAGTACTTGTTTTCTTAATTAGGGAAGTTTACTTTTAAGAAGGAGTTGCAAGGAGCTGCAGAAATCCTTCTGATTTAAAGATTTTTTTATTAGCTGCATATTTCCCTTTTAAAATTATCTATTCTATGCTTCCCACTTTTTTTTCTGTAATAAAACTTTTAGATATATTCACAATTGTTTTGGAATAAAGCCATTTCTGGCTCCATTTCTTGATTTTTGTATTTGTAGAAAAAAATCAGTTGTCAGCTGGTAATGGCTAAAACTCTTAAATGTCTTTATCAGTGGAAAAGTTATCCATGTAATTTCCAACCCTTGTTTCTTGGTTGAGCTGCACTCCATAACCATTGTTTTCTTTTTGATGAAAAGCCTTTCATCAGCTTTGTTTAAATCTCTGATGTAAAGCATAGATAAGGAATTACTTTGATTCTCCTGAAGAGACTGAGCCTTTAGAAAGTGAGAGGTGTACAGTTAGTGGCCTGTGCCAGATTTGTACTTAAAAGGGCAGTGCATGTAGCAGAAGCTTTAGTTTATTCTTTAAGATTTTATTCTTTTCTAAGCTGAACAGCCCCATCTTTCTGAGCCTGTCCTCATCGGGAGACGTTCCAGCCCCCTGATGGTCTTTGTGGCCTCCTCTGGACCACCTCCAACAGGACCGTGTCCTTCCTATGCTGGGGTCCCAGAGCTGGGTGTAGAACTGCAGGTGGGGCCTGAGCAGAGGGGCAGAGTCACCTCCCTAGACCTGCTGGCCATGCATCTTCTGGTGCAGCCCGGGATGCATCATAGGATAGGGATCCTGTTGGGACATTTTCCAGGAGACGAGAGCTGCTGAGGGCTCATTCCTGGCTGGCTTGGGCTCCTGTGATGGAAGTGGCCAGCTGATGCCAGACCAGAAGCTGTGCATCAGCCCTTAGGCTCGAGCTCTGCCTGGTCATCTGCACGTGTGGTTTGTAATGTAACAGTGCTCAACTTCCTGACAGTCACTGCATGGAGCTGAGTGCTTAATCGGCCTTTAATGAAGATAGCAGAAATCAGTGTAATGTGCTTGACATAGTGTTACAAAATGTTATTTACTACGTAAAAATATTGATGTTTTTAAGTGTGTATATGACTAATGCAGCTTAGACAGTTTCAAATGTTGTATAAAAGTTATGTTGAAAACAATGCTGAATAGGTCACGTGGCTGCGAAATGCCTGGCTGTGTCACACAGAACGCTAGCTCGGTACACGTGAGAGTGTATGATAGTGGTAACCTGACGACTAAATCGCATGGCCATGACTTCTTTGCACAGGACCAGCGGCAAACAGAAGCAATCCAGGTGTTACAAGCACAGCTCACCAACATGACGCAGCTAGCTTCCAACCTGTCAGCAACTGTGGCAGAATTAAAACGTGAGGTAATTATAATTCAGCAGTATGGCACAAGAAGTCAAAGGAAACGCGTGCATGAACGTATCTCAATTTGCAGAAGCCTAGAGTCTTTAAATGAAGCTTTTAATTTGAGAAGTTCTCTATAATGTTGCTTTCAGCCTGCCTTAGCAGGGGAGGGTAGGAAAGTGAATAGCTAGAGCTGTCATGTGTGCAGGAAGATTGGTAATAACTTCTACTCCAGTCCTACTAGTCCCATGATTGTACTCTGAGCCTAACAATAAAGATACAACTTAGACTAACTTAATGACTCAGCCTTCCTGTAGTGCACTGGAGTTGATACCATTCTGTGAAACAATTCTTAATGAAATTAGAAGACTAACCACTGACTTGGAAATGGCAATAATATGTTTTGTTACACATACAGAATGTTTTACATGTGTCAAAAGGACTGGTAAAGTTCATGCTTCAAGAAATTTTCTGACACTTATTGTGTTACGTAACCAGTTGTATTGCGTGACTTTGTCAGACAACTTCAGTAAAACGGGATGACTTGCGGTGTCCGGCGCTTCTGTTGTCTGCTCAGGTATTAACAGACTCTTGGCACAGGAGTCTCTGTGTGCCAGGAGCGTTCTGGCCACTGCTGGAGCTAGGTTGTAATAACTGAGGAGTGTGTAGAGGGGTCTCTCTGTTAGTTACTGAATGGGAGGCTTACAGGGCTAAGGCACCCTCTTCCTTTCCCTCTGCCTGTTGTGATTTTTTTGAGATGAGGAGAACCATGCCAACAACATTAGGAGCATATTCCCTCAAAAGTTTGTTCTCCAGCCTGGCATTTCAAGCAGTACCTTAAACACAACATTTTTGTTTTGTTCTGATTTTGACGCATGATGCCAAAGACATTTCTTGAACTGTTTTATGACATGTAGTGAGATTCCTTTTTTGATGGCTGGCTGGCTAAGTTCCTGTTCACGAGTGCTGTAGTTTTGACCAGGATTTGACCGTGAGATCATAAGGTATGTTAGAGGAGTATCCTGCAATTTGAACACGTGGCTTTCTCTGGACTCAGCTCTGGTCACCTGAATCTATTAGTCTGAGACATTACAAAATGGGAGGTCATGTTCCTTTTCTAAAATCTATGTAAGACTTCTAAGATTGCTTAGTGGTTTAAGATTTATTTTTTTTTAACAGGAAAAGCATGCAATTAATTTTTTTTAAACACTATCTACAAAATAACCTGAGGTTTCAGCTTCCATATAATTCTAGTAAGCTTCATCTGTCAGTCTTCATAAATTAACATACTTGAAAAATATGCTTCAACTAAGTTGTGAACTGGAAGATGAAACTCACTGAATCAAATGAATGTCATGGTATTTATTCCATGAAGTCTTGCAATGTCAGCTGATGAAAAGTGTCACATAAATTTAAGACAGTATTATGTCCATGTCAGCAGGGAAACAGGAAGTTCCTTTCTCTAGCACACTTTCTTATGGAAAATCTATTACTCTCAGGCTTGAATACTCTTTGCAAGGGGCAGTTGCTTCTTTAAGTTGTGGTAGTACTGTAGCTAGTGAAATCTTGTCCTGTGTTACCAGCTAGTGATTTTCAGCCTTCAGTCCTTGATTGCTGGTAGCCAATAGACTCGGTCAGACCTCTGAAAAATACTTGAATTTGAACAAGTGTTCAGTGAAATTGAAGCAAAGTGACTTGAGAACATGTCAGTTGTGGGATTTTAAGATTTTAGTGTTGAAAACATGCATATAGTATTATGAAATTATTCTTTGTCTTTTGCAACTGTATCATTCTTCCAGGTTTCTGATCGACAGACTTACCTTGTGATTTCTCTCGGCCTCTGCGTTGTTCTGGGCTTGGTGCTTTGTGTGCAGCAGTGCAGAAGCAATTCTCAGTTCTGTGAAGATTACCTCTCAAAAATTCCCAAGAGTAATCACTACCCTAGCCCCAAAAGGTAGTGTATATATATTTGAAATTTGAAGCTTTTAATATTTCCTGAATCTACTGAGACTGGCACGTCTGCTTTAATTCCAAGTCTTTCTGCAAACTCAAAGTTGATAGGAGAGAGCTGTTACTGCTCTGTATTATCGCTCTCTGAGGAGCATTCTGGGACTTCTGCGCTTAACATGCCTTGATAGGTTGTTGCAAAGACAGTACTGTGTCTGTTTGCCAGGCTTTCTTGGGCACCTCAGGGAATAATTCTGTCCTACTAAAAATGTTTCCTTATGAAAAATGCGTATGACAAAGTTCTGAGAAAAACATGTTAAAGTTTTGTGGATTTTGTTTCCTAGGTGTTTTTCCTCCTATGATGATATGAATCTGAAGAGAAGAACTTCTCTCCCACTGGTCAGATCACAGTCTTTTCAGCTAGCTGGTAAAGAAGGTATTATTCATGTGTTGTACATCTGCTCTCTCGTGTTACTCTAATAGTAACACCAATAGAGTGTGTTTTACTGCAAGTGTAAAAAGAAAATGGAATTGCAGGTTAATATCAAAGCACCATGGATTATAGTAGTTCACATACACGTTCTGTGTATGGTGTTGGTTTGTGAATGTTACCAGACACTTGCAGAACTGTGCTAAATTATGCTAAATACTAAGTGTAGTATTTGCTATCATTTATACTCGACAGGTGTTTTCTTGGGGTTAGTACCAATCCATGCAGGCATTCAGGTCTGCAACGCTATGAAGCTTAAGGAAAGTGGCTTTTTTTGGTGTTTTTGGTTGGAGTTGTTTGGGTGGTTTTTGTTGTGTTGTTTTTTCTGCTGGACGTGGGAAATCTGAGTGCCCTACTTCTCAGAAGTCTGTTAGCGTGTCTTTGAAACTTGGCAGGTACTTACAGTCCAAATTTATCAACTATAGTAGGAAAATCTAGACTATTTATCTTGGCTTGGGTTTGAGGAATGATCTGTTCTTTTCAGTATTTGTTACTCTTAGGACAACTGAATTTTTATTTATTTTTTTTTAGGCCATCATCATGCCAAGACCAAAAGTGTTGTAGGTTATATTAACTACCAAGTATGCAGATGATACTGCTTTTCTGGGTGCAGCCAAATTGCTTCACAGTTTGGTTTGTTTTTTTTACTGTGAATAAAACTCCATGAAAAGTCATGAATTAGGAGCATGTGCAATAGAGACTAGCTAAGGTGCGAGGGTTTTTTAAAGAAAAAGATAATTTTGCAAAACCACGCTTCTTCCAAATTCCCTCCTGCTTTGACTTTGAAGAATGACTTGCAAAGCCCTGACAGAGGAATGCCAGACTGATCTGATGTCGGTCTAAACATCTGTATCCTTGATAGGTACACGTGCTTCTAGTATCTGTCCTGTCACGGACAGGCCGCACGTTAAACGCTATCATGTTCATAACCACTCATTTTTGTAGAAGGTAACGTTTGCTGACTATTGTTCCTTTTCCTCAGAGGATGTTCTCTGCACCTCTCCTGTGTTCTAATCTATGAGGAGGACAAGTGTTCTCAAGTGTGTCTCACTGACAGCTGCCGTGGCAGCACAGAAGTCCTCTGTGTTGACTTCACTTTCAGCATTCAAGGGTTGTACCTCCTTTAACCTAGAATGGGAGCAAAAATGCCTTGTGCTAAGTGGAATATTTTGTCTTGCTATTATTTATTTAGAAAACGATGACACTGCTCTAGAGCTGGCAGTGTCAGGACTGCTAAATTCATGTTCCCTCCCTTACAGTGGATCCAGAGGACCTGTACATTGTAGAACCCCTGAAGTTTTCCCCAGAGAAGAAGGTACGCTGGCTGCGGGGACGGGCAGGCGGAGCTGAGCCTGTCTCTGCTGGCAGGTGGCGCATGTCTCAGCTTTCTCCCCTGTGCTGCTTCCCAGGCTTGGTTTTTATGCTCTGCTTGCCTTCCAGAACCTAACTGTTTCTCTTTTCACTTGTGGTTTCAGAAAAAGCGTTGCAAATACAAAAGTGAAAAAATAGAGACTATTAAGCCAGCAACAGAGCCTCTGCATCCAATAGCCAACGGGGAAATTAAAGGAAGGAAGCCGTTTACGAATCAGAGGGACTTCTCTAATATCGGGGAAGTTTATCACTCTTCGTATAAGGGTCCTCCATCAGAAGGAAGCTCTGAAACGTCATCGCAGTCTGAGGAGTCCTATTTTTGTGGCATTTCAGCGTGTACGAGTCTGTGCAATGGACAGACCCAAAAGACAAAAACTGAGAAGAGGGCTGTAAAACGAAGACGGTCTAAAGTTTCAGACCAAGGGAAGCTCATAAAAACTCTGATACAGACTAAGTCAGGGTCAATGCCGAGCCTGCATGACATAATCAAAGGAAACAAAGATATAACAGTGGGAACACTTGGTGTCACGACAGTTTCTGGACACATCTAAAACTAGCTTGTCAGAACATGAGAGTGTTTGTTCGTTTGAGAACAGTCTGTGGTATTCTGTGGGAGGATAGTGGGAGACGAAGAGCTCAAGTAATTGGAAAGTATTCAGAAATTTGGTTTCTGCCTTTTTAAATAGATGGGATTGTGTCAATCTTGGCTATAAGCTGCAGCTTTACAAGGCTGATAATTTCCTATGAGAACAGCTTGGGGGGAGGGCGGGAAGGGTTCATTTTATAAAGGTTTTTTTTCACAGTTCCTGGGGCAGAGATTTTTTGAAACCCAGTTTGTTGGGTGGAATTAGGGATAAAAGCCTAATCCTCTTCCTTTAGCTTTGTTCCTATTTCTTGCACCTTCCCATATTTATGTGCCTTTTGTCTATTTATAACGCCACTGGAAGAGGGGAGATACAATTGTTTGTCATTTGATTTATTTTGTAATTTCTCTAGCTTTTTTTGAAGATGCAACACTACAGTGCTGTAAAGGGACACGTGTTGGCCTTCAGCTGGACTCAGTGATGTGGACTGGATACTGTAAAAATGCTAAGAGATGGACTTGCCTGACTAGAGTCTGGTTTTGCAAACTCAGTTGGGGGAAACAGCTCACTAGGGATGGTAGTGGTGTTTATTTCCACATTCAGTTACAAATTGAAACTGTAGTCTGATGTGCTGAATGAATGGCAGCGGCTCTTCAGTGTTTGCTGCGTCTGATGGGATCTTGGGCTGACGAATGCTTTTGTTGGCTAAACAGCCTGCTCTAGTCCCCTGAAGGAAGGAAACGGGGAGTACTCGCTGCTTCTGTGCTCGACGTTCAGCAAGGGTGCGCGGGTGCAGCGGGACCGTTCTCTGAGCCAGCTCTGGATGCCTGGAGTTTGCAAAGCCTCGAAGTCTCACCAGTCAGGCTGGTTCCAAGTGGGTATTTCCATAACGTTTGCTTTTGTATTGGCTAACAAATGTGCAGTGCTTGTATGGTTGGTATTTTCATATCCAAGTGTTTTGTTGTTGTTTGATTATTTTTTTTTAATTATTTTGACTGTGATTGTATATTTGGATACTATAGGATGTGTGATTGCTAAAATGTTGAGTGTGTATCTGAGTGAGTGGAACAAAAGGTTATTCCTTTTGGGAGGTGTTACAGGTTCACATTGTAAAAAAAATGAGTTAACTTATTGAGCACTTTTAGTGGTACCCTTTTTAACAGACCTAATGCCTTTCCTGGGTATTGTATGTAATGTGACTTATTTAAAGCCTTTGGTTTTTTTGCTGCTTTCTTGTTAGTTTATGAATACTTTAAAGTGATGTACTTTTGGAGTTGATCTGCACAATTAGCCAGTCGGAGCACATGAACCAGGCATATTGAACATGAATTCAGGAGGGTTTCAAACCTGGGTGAGGAAGAAATGTACCACCTGAGTGCAGCATACAATGTTGTGGAACAAGAGTATGTAACTACAGAGCTGTAGTGCCATTAGAAACTGTGAATTTCCAAATAAATCTGAACACTTTGTCTTTAATTTTCTGGCATTTTTCCTTTGAAGCTGAAACTTGTGGCTTGAATTCTTTGAGAAGGACTAGCCTTTAAATTTCAGTCCAGAACTAGGACTGGGGTCCTTCGGACCATAACAAGGAGGTCATAAACTTATTTGTCAGCCTGGATGTGTGCATTTGTTTTAAAATAAGGGGGAGTGAGGGAGGAAAGCTGAAAACTGAGTGATGCCATGTGTAAAAGTTCAGGAATTGTGGCCATATAAAACTTCTCTAGAAGTTTCCAGCAGGTGTCAGTTCTCGTCTTGACTGAGGGATCCTTGGAAGTGGTAGCTTTCTGTGAGAATGACTGCATGAAGTTACGTCTTGGTACTCACAGCTAAGCCTTGTGATGGATATAAAAGGCCATTAAAATAAAACAGTCATTTATTGTCTCAAACTGGGGCTTTTCAGCTTGAAGTTTGACACTTACTGGTCCCTTCCTTCTGCCTTATTTCTAGCAGGTGTAGCAGCTCTGTGTGCAGCCGAATGCTCAGTTCAGCGGCTCTCCAGCATCTACTGCTCTTGTCAGACCTCCCCAGCACTAATTCCTCGCTTGAGCGTATCAAGACTGCTTCATCGTAGCACTATGATTTAAAAAGCAATTGAATATGGAGTTGGCTGTGGGGTGTGTATGTTTTGGGGTGTGGGTTTGGTGGCTTTTTTATGATTTAGAGTTCTTTATTTTGTCTTGCTACATCACCTGTAGGAATCTGCTTTCCTTTACTACCCTGGCAGTCACTGAGCTGTTCTTCTTGTCAGTAAGAATTGGCTGAAGCTGGACATGACTGGATTATTAAAGCAGCTGTCTGCACTCTCTGACTGTAAACCAAAGACCGACAGACCTAGAATACCATCTCTAATGAGAGTTTATTTTTTGTTTGTTCTAGCTGGCCTATAAACATTAGGTGAAAGCAGTTTGATTGTGAAAGTGAAGTTAAACCAAAGCTGGTGGTGACGACGTGTATTAACTCTACGGTGTGAGCATGGAGCTCTGGACCAAGGAGGGTTGCCTTTCCTAGGAGCAGTGGTTCCATGAATGGCCAGAAGCTTTCCTCCTCATCCTTTCCTGTTTTGTTGGAATGGATAACTTCTTTTTTTGTCCTGTGCACATTTGCCTCCTAGACGCTTACCCCACAGCACTGGTGAGCAATCCTTGAAGATGACTTGGAAATTACAGTTGAGGAATTTGCAGCACTCCTCAGTGCTTCTTCATGGAAGGAGAACGTATTGTGTTTGTTTCAAAGCATTTATATATACATCCCCATTTTCGCTTGGGAAGACAATGCTTAACTTTGGACTGAAATCCCTTTTTGCTGGTGCTCTTATGCTGATACAGTCTGGTTTATGCCTTAAATGTTGATAAGTCTGAAGAGGTGGTGCGTGTTTAAATTCCAAGCACGTGTTCAAATTTCCAAGTTAAAAATTTTGGATGTGAAACTAAATGCCTTCCAAAACAGTCCTTTAATATACACTGCTCTCTGTATATTTTAAAAAATTTGGCATGGCTTGGGTTTAAGGAGTTGCTGCATTCTGTGGGAAGAATACCAGCGATGAAGCTTGTCAAGCGGTGAACGCACGGGAAACACGCCTTGGGAGTAATGCGCATCCTAAATGGACAGAGCAGAGCTCTGTGGTGAGAGTGTGGCTTGAGGCCATGTCTTGCAGTTCATACTGGAGATATGGTAGATAACATGGGCAGAAAATCCTCATGTGCAGGCTCCTATGTTTCAGTACTGTTTGGAGAACAATTCACAGTGTTCCTGCTTCTGAAAGTACCTTAAAATCAATGCAAAGAGTGATGATGTGGGCTTTGTAGGTTCACTTGCCTGAAAACTACTTTTTGTTCCTAAGAAGTGCTGCCTCGGAACTCTGAGTCAGCAGGAGCTTGTGTGAATTCAGCTGGTGCGATGGAGAGCAAGTGGCATCGTGCACAGCGTGTGGTTTTCTCGTGTCTTAAGTACCTGGCTAACAGAAACTCTTAAGGCACGGTGAAAAATGTTGGCCTAGTTTTTTGTGCTGGGTTGGTGGAGGTGGCTGTTAGCAGCGGTGACTCCTGTGAATACAGCACATCTGTACGTGTCAGGCGAGGAGTGGCATCCCTGTTCTCCTGAGCACCTTACCGAACCGTTTAAGCTGTGTCTAGGTCTGAACATGCAAATCAAAGCCATAGGTTGTGCTTCAGCCGCTGACACAGCCAGCACCTATGGAGCTGATGGTGCTGCTGCAAACTGGAGAGAGTTTGTTTTGGCAAGAGACTGGAGATTTGAACCGCAGCTTCCTCTGCTGCTGCCTTGTTGCTTTTAATTGTTTGTAACCCCTTTTTTTTTTTTTTTTAGAAAAAGTTCTTAATGTCAAGATCTTACTGCCTTTCATGTGGGCTCTTGAGTCATTTTTTACTTCCAGTTTTATTAATGTCACGCTGACTTTAGCTTTCAAAACCTGATTCTTTGGTGAAATCGAGTCCCTCTTAAATTGATCGTAATCTTTATACAAGGATAATAGCTTCTAATGAAGAGGGTTTATAAATCTTGACAAATCTGTCCGGTGGCGTGGATACTGAAAGGGAGGGCCCAGTTTGTCTTGCAATGCTGCGTAATAAGATTGGTGTAAAATGCCAAGAAGTGTGTGTGGAGCAGTGAGGACTGTGTCCTTGTGGTCCTTGGGCAGGTCCTGAGCCCAAGGTCAACAAACACTTACGCAACACGAAGGTTTCTGTGAGAGGGTGGGCAGCCATACCCATAGGCATCGTACAAGTGAATTACCAGCTGAGTTTGCCAAAAGAAGGTATTTGAGTTGTCGTGTACGTTAAGCATCAGTATTTGTAAATCCAGTATTTGTAAAGTATGCAAACTTTACCAGCTGTGTGGTGTTGGCAAGTAGAGAACTCAAGCGTGAGTTTTCTTTGTGTGGCTTCTGCTTTTGCCAAGTTGCAGTGTGAGATGAAACAAGATGGAACAGCTTAGCTTGATTTGTTCGCTTGATTAGGTACAAACATGTTCCACCTCCTTTGGAACAATTAAAGTGTAGAGAGCCCTGACCACAAAGTGCTGTGGGTTGGCTGTCAAGCAGCGCGTGTCTCATCTCCTGGAAACCCTGAGTGTCAAACAGCACCAGGTACTGCTGAAGACATCACTGGGGTTTGTAACAGCTTGAGAAGAATTAAGTGTTCCCAGAGCTTGAGGTAAAGTGTGTTAGCTTAGGAAAGGATAGCGAAACTCGTCAATCTTTCTTACATATCCCTTCTCTAAGAATAGTAATTTTAAAAGAAGTTATCAAGGAGCTTTTCTGCTGTCTTACTGCTCTCTCTCACGTTGGAGACATGGCCTGGGAGCTGCAGCAGGTCTTGTCTGTGCTGCTTTTCATTAGAGTCAATAATTAAGGGCAGATTAGAGGTATGGCTTTTGGTAGGGAGAGGAGATGAAATTAACTCTATGCTTTGTGGACCTAGAAATGGAAAAGAAATGTTTTCCACCTGAAGGCTTGGGGGTTTTTTTCCTTGTTAGATGTGGTGACTAGGGCCTACATCCAGCTGTTGGGCCCTCTGAACTCATAGCAAACAAAAATCCTTGTCTCTGACTTTTTTTTTTTTTGCATTAAAATAGCTTGAAGCAGCAAGTGAATGTTTTCTGTTAGTCGTAATTTGACGTGATTACTGCTGAAATGTCAAGGTTGTATATATTGCCTGTGAAAATCTCTTGTAGCTCAAAGTTAAATCCCAGGAGAATCATCTGATGAAAGTCCCTTGGGGTTTTGGGAAGTCAGCTGTTGTGTGTCACTGGTGTCAGGGTGCTTGTGTAATGAGGTGGACACATCTGGTGTTGGGCACTCTGTATGCCAGACTGACACCAGAGGGCCTGAATTTACCGAGTGACACCACTGAGGTGTTATCCTGATGGAACTCAGTAAGGATCTCAACGTAGATCTC